ACTATTTTGTTTCCCCCCCCCCCCCCCCCCAAAAGGGATATTCACCATTTTTAGAATTTACTTATTACAGGTATTTATATAGTTTCTGCTCCAAGAAGGCAATACTGTGCCATACACTTGAATAACATGACACCATGTGTCACAAAAGTAAACAAAGGAATTGTATGAAACTTCTTCATTGCCACTTCCTTTAGCATTTGGCGCTTTGTGTACAGAATAAGGTGGGTCTTGTTTAGACGTTTGGATTAACTCCAAAAAGTGTTTAGTAAATGTCAGACTCGCTAGGGTATGAAATGCTTGCACAGATTTGGAGAAAGTGACAAGAATACATCTCCTCCTGACATGAGTCAGGCTGCCTCACCCTACTTCTCCTGACCCATAATCACAAGATGATGAACACGCTGAGCAAAGCAAAATTAATTTAACCTGTAAGACCACACTCTTATTCCACATTGCTGTGGAGTTGTAAACATCTACCTTAACCCTTCGAGGTCTTTATTTTTCCCCTTCACCGCACATAGAATGTTTACCAAGGCAGATGGCTACCTAGAACAGGAAGTAAAAAATCTGGCAAATGTATACATCTACCCTAAGGGCCGGTTCACACCATAAACAGTGCGTTCCAGAGCTGTCAGCCTTTGGAACGCACTGTATTGCATTTCGGGACACCTCCTACCCCCCCTGGCACGAGAACGCGTGGCACATTAGTGCCTGCGTTCCGGGCCCAGTGCGGTCTGCATAAATTGTGCTTGCAGCATTTTTGCAGATCGCACTGGATTGGAACGCAGGCACTGATGTGCCTCCATTCAGGCCCCTGTGTGGGCCTGTTTTATATGTGTCCTTGCGGTGACCTGCGTTGATGTTGTGCGGTACAATGCAGCTCACTGCTATAGGTGTGAATGAGCCCTTACTCAATTGAAAATGGAAGGACTGGTACCTGTTGATCAGAGAATCATTGTGCTCCCACTCTTGTGGAACAAAGAAAACAATCCACAGCCACAAAATATAGAGTCCTTTTGCAGCCCAATAGGGTATTGTGTAAAAGTGAAACATTAGAGCGTTTTAAGTGATTTATATTTAATATTGATATCTTTCATTTCATTATTTTATCATTTGTTAAA